GCTTCCCACCTTGGAACTCCTCTGGCAAAGAAGTTAGAGGGATTCTGGGCTCTTGCTGAATTGGCAGATGATAAGTGATGTGACTGACAAGTGCTGCTTTGTAAGTCAATGTCAAAAGGCACCTCAGTTCAGGTGAAATGCAGGGATGGGCCCAGTCTGGCAGGGGCAGGAAGCTGCTGAGATGTGTGCAGTACATCTGGTTGTGTCAGAGCAGTTAACGTTCTCAGTTAACAAAACAAAGCAAAGATCTTGGCAAAGAGCTCACCAGGAGCTTGTTAGAGATTTGCAAATAGAGAGCAAAGCCTGAAAAGTGCAGCTACAAGACAGATGGGAGCTCTTATTTTGAGGTTGCTGTCAGCACTCAGACTTCCAAAGTTGCAATGAAATTGAAGAAGGATTGAAAAATCATCTCTTTATTCCTGAGGAAGCTGGAAATCCTTCTTGTGAAGGAAGTTCCATGTTCTTTTGAGAACTAACATCCCATGGGACCCCAACTACTGGTAAACCCATCACTTGCTTCTTTAAAGTCTGACCCACACAGACACACACCATTTGTGACCAGCGTTCCCAACTGGTACAGGGAATGCAGAGAAGGAAATGGTTTTCCTTTGTGTCATCCAGGAGCCAAGGGAGGTTGGTAACCTTGCTGTTGTATGTAATTGCTCTGGGGATTCGTTTTCCTCACTACAGGACAAAGCTCTGAGATGGACATGTGAATATTTGGTCACCTTTCAATCTTGACCTGCTGCAAATTACTACCAGCAGTAAACCAGAGAGAGCTGGGTTCCTCAAAACCGAACTTCATTCTGGCTCTGGGAGGTGTGACCAGCTCTGCAGTGCACGTTGGGCTGGAGCCAAGCCCAGGTGGAAGGGCTCTGGAGCTGCAGGTCTGCTTGGAACCCCAGGCTGAGGAGCCCCTGCCCACCTGGAGCTGCAGGTCTGCTTGGAACCCCAGGCATTGAGCCTGGGCTGAGGAGCCCCTGCCCATTCCCTGGTCAGACCAGATGAAATGCTCAGCCAGCCCAGGCTGCCCACAGTGACTGGAAGATGGTCTGAGAGCAGGTTATGATCAGTCATGCTTTCCTCGACTCATCTTCCCAAGGCGTTCAAGAATTCTTGACCCAGGGAAGATTATTTTTGTCTGCCCTCCCTTGACTGTTTTATTTCTTGTGTGTGTCCGATGCACGTAAAGTTCTGGTGTCCCCAGCAACTTCCACAGTTCTGTGACATGTTTGGTGAGACTCTGTGACATGTTTGGTGAGGTTCTGCCTCCATTATTATTATTATGTTGTTGTTGCTGTTGTTGCTGCTACTGTTGTTACAGTTTTTATTTAATCTGCCACCTACAAGTTTCATTTTCTGTCCTGTTTCTGGTATTAGGAGAGAGAGCAGACAGTTGTTTCTCATTTTCCATGCTTCTTGTTCTTTATCTTGCCTTTTTTTCGCCACAGGACCATTGCTACCTGTAGTAGTCAAGCTGTGGTTGTGCTCTGCTCTTGTACACTGACCTGTTGGTATTTTCTGTTCCTCTCCCAGTGGTTCCTATCATCCAGTTGGATTTTTTTACCTTTTTTTGCAGTGCTTCAGAAGATCACAGAGCTTTGTCTGGCACCTCTGAAGTCACATTTGTGATCAGAGATCAGACCAGAGCCCATTGCTTCATCTGTAACATTTTCACAACTACAGTTTGAAAAAGATGCTAAATGTTCATTTGTTCAGTAAAGATCTTTGTCCAAAAAGCCTCCAGGAGCCTATAAGCATTTAAGCATCTATCTGTAAGAACATAAGGTGAACTGAGGACGTTTTCTGTACAGGAGCCTGTTAAACCACCCTGGAATGTTGCTGTGATGCTAAAAGCCTTTGACTGTGGCTGAGTCCACCACGCAAGACCTTCCAGCAAGCGATCCTCTGGCAGGAAAGGTGCAGCTCCAGGCAATCCTCACCTGGAGGAGGCTGTGACATGGAGGTGGTGCTGGCAGGTCCGCAGGAGGCGGCTCTGGGGTCACTAGATGGTGCTGCCGATCTGGAAATGGGAGCAGACAGCTCTTGGAAGAAGGAAGATGATCTCTCCCGAATTTGCACCCAGAGCACCTGCCCGGAATTAGGGTTGACTGACAGCGCCTGAAGTGCTTCCCAAACATCAAAGAGACCTGCTCTTCAGGCTCTGGCTGTGAAGGAGAGGAGAAGGAGGACAACAAATGCAGGAAAATCAGGAACTAGACAAGCATGTGAGGCAGCCCCAGCCCGTGGCCTTGGCTCTGCTCTTCCCCAGGCCAGCAAGAACCACGGGGCATGGGAGGGACTGTTTGAAAGCCTGTACTGCAGAAGAAGCACCTGTGAAAAGCAGACACCAAACAGGCTGTTTTATGTGAACCCTGGAAGTGTTGAAGGGCAGGTTGGATGGGGCTCTGAGCAACCTGGACTAGTGGGAGGTGTCCCTGCCCATGCTGGGCTGGAACTAGATGATATTTAAGGTCCCTTCCAACTCAAATCAGTCTGGGATTCTATGATTCTATGATACAGGCACAGCTGGGGGTGGAACAGACAGTAGCATAGAATCACAGAATGCCAGGTTGGAAGGGACTTCAAGGATCATCTGGTCCAACCTTTCCAGGTACTACTATAGTTCCTATGAGGTGGCTCAGCACCCTGCCTAGCTGAGACTTGAAACTGTCCAATGTGGGGAAATCTACCACTTCCCTTGGGAGACTGTTCCAATGTTTCATTGTCCTCACGGTGAAAAATTTACGTATGTTAAAGAAGGATGATGAAGAAAACTTCTAGTGTCCACCCACGGCAGGGTCAGCAGTAGAAAGTCAACTGTAGGGAAGAAAGAAGCCAGCCAGGTTGGGATGTCTTCCATCCCATCTCCCTGCCCTGAGCTATGGGGCAGCACAGCTCAGGATTATGTCCTGATGTCACCGTATGGATTCAGATTGCACAGGAAATCTTTATCATGTCAGGAGCTTCTGCCTGCTCGCCTGCAACTGTGCTGTGGCTCTGTTTTTAAAATGCAATTTCCTAAGTTGTGTAAAAGCTTCCTAAAAGAGAATTCCATTAAGGGAAACCATGTTGACTCCGATTTCTTCCTCGGCTCTCCCTGTACAGCGATTTCTAAATCACTTGTAAGCTTTTCCAGCTATGCTGAGTATTACACAGCACAGAGTTGAGCAGAGTAAAATGATCGATATTGTAATGGACTCCTCAGCCTAGTCCATGACAGAAATAATAAATGTCATGATGTATGACAGCCCTTCCAAAGCCCTATGGAGCCAAAGGAGACGCAGTAAGCATATATCTCCTACTTCCTACCCCTGTTTTGCTTCTCTGCGTCTGTCCTTTGTTTCCTCCCACATTTATTTCCTCAGTAATGGAAGAGGATAATTGAATTAAAAGCGACTCTGTACGCACGAGAACAGGCTGTGGCTGCACTGCTCCCCTTGGGCAGCACTGGGTGGACTTCTGGGACCTTCTGAGCTACTAAGTGCTGCGAGGAGGATGTTGGGGAATGGTTCTGACCAGTAGCCACGGACCCCTGTTGGTATTACACCAGGTAAATGTACATGCAAACACCTTGTAGCCTCTTTCACTATTACCACGTAGCATTTTGCCTTCCTGCTCCAGTCTGTTCATCATCTGGGTGATGCCCAAACTTTTACGTGTTGACATTAGTTCCCAATTTTCAAGCCAAATCAAATGAATATCTGCCCTGCATCTGTACGGCTCCTCGTGGCCGAGATGTCTGACTAACTAATGACACCCTTCTGCCAGTGGCTTTCCCTGCCTCTGTGCTTCATGAAGCCCCATGCACATCTTTTCTCTCCTGCACTGCCAAACTGCCACTCTTCATGAAGGGACACCCTCAGAAGTGATTGCTCCTTAAAGACAATACAAGCTGAAGCAAACCCGAAGGTCAGAAAATGAAATAAACACTGTTCCTGTTTCCTAGGGAAAAGTCAAGAGGAGTAAATGAGAAGGATGGTTCATTATTGGATTGGGTATTAAGAAGAAATTGTTTACTGCAAGAGTGATGGAGTCACCATCCCTGGAAGTGTTCAAAAACCATGTAGACATGGCACTTCAGGGCAGGGTGTTGTTGGTTTCACAGTTGGGCTTGATGATCTTAGGAGTCTTCTCAAACCTTAACAATTCTATGATGCTTGAGCGATGTCTCTGCTCTCCTCTTTTTTGACTCAACATCCACCAGGGCATTATATCTACACATACATTGCACATTATCAGTGTCTGTCCCACAGAATGCAAAGGAAGAAAATAGAAGATTAAGTTTTTCTCATTTTGCTTAAATACTCTTGTCAGATGCTACAAGCGCGTCGCCTTGTGTTTAATTAAAGAGCTGGTAGGAAGATGGGAAGAGAAACAGGAAAAACTCTACTCATTTTAACCCATATTGGTCTTTCCCAATCAGCTGCAATTAGTACTGATTAGTGACGGCACTGCTGCAGCAAGCTGGCCCAGATTGCAGAGCCAGTGTGGCCAGTGTTGGTGTCACCCAAGTGCCTTCCAGTTGGAATTACCCTGTGACACTAAAAGAGTCACTGAGTCTCACCAGCCCAAATCCCCCACCTGATAACTTGCACTACCATTTTTTGTATCCACATACAAGCCAATTTTGTGCTTATTTTATTTTAGTTAGCCTGTGGCAATCCACTTGACAACACATCAGTAGATGGTTGCCTTAATGTTAACAGGGTTGTAGGGGGAGTATCCTGGTGCACCCATGGCTCAGGTAACCACCTATTTGGAAAATTAATTGTATCTTGCAAAGATACATTTGCAAATAAGCTGAATGTATTTGTACTGTGGAGCTGTATTTACCGTTTATCAAAGGGGTGAGCTTTTGGGAGAGCAAGAAAGAAGGTGAGTGCCATGTTCTGACAGGTAAGATCTGTTTCACCACTGCGTCTGTTGGTTTTTTGGTTTGGTTTGTCTCATTTTCAGCAACAGAATTTAGTTTTCTTACTCCACAAATATGCCTGCAGGAATCGTGAATACAACCTACACCCTCCAAATGAAGGGCAAGACATGAGCACTCAGAAGCTACTCACTTTTGTTTCTGAAGAGCGGGGGATTCAGGTCAAGGGATTTTCATACCAGCTGGTTTACAGCACCCGACACGTCTGGTTTTTACAGATCAGGATGGCCCGGGACCCAAAGCTGTGCCCTGCGCAGCCATGTAGAGCTGCTGGTAACACACACACGAGCCTTCCCAGGACCTGTGGCTCTCAGCACAGACTTTTAATGATGCCGTGACACAAATGTCCCCACGTGCTCACAGCTCGCTCCCCTCACGTCCCAAAATACCGTTGTTCCTTGGTCCTCAGAGCCTTGGGCACCAGGAACTCGGAGAACAGCAACTCAACATCACCTTCACAAGGCGTGGGGACAGGAAGAAATGGGGCTGCGTTGTGGTTTTAATTGCAGGGCTGTAGGACACAGAAAGCTGCACTGCACCCAGGCCTTCTCCTACACTGCGGATGCAGCCCCTGGACTCTATTCCTGACACAAATCTCCCTGCCCTGTTTCCCCACTCCCTGGGCACTCCAGGGCTCACAGCCCACCCCACGATTCCAATGATCCTCTAAGTTTCCCGCCCCTGCTTACACATCCCACTCTAGCAGGTCACTTTTTACCTTTTGAGGTAAAATTCTGACCTTTCTATCCCCCTGGGCTGCCTTCCCAGTTAACAAACTCACTGGTGTCACCCTGCCCTGAGCGGCAGCACAGAAGGGGCTTTGCTGGGTCTGATCTAGGGCCATAAATCCATGTTTGGATCCCCAGGTGGAGCCCAATTCAGTCTCTTGGGCCACAAACCCCTCCTGGTGCCCTTAGAATGTGCAGATACCTCACTTATTTCAGACAATCTATATATTTAACCCACTAGTGTGTGTG